TTTTCCATTGATAAAGGCACTTGGCAGGGGTGCTCTTAATTGCCCTGTTTGCCATTGCTTTGAAAGCTTCCCATGATACACTTATCAAAGGATATTTGTGAGTGTTCTGTAGTACTATAGAGCTAATATAAGGTTTCAGTATGTGCTGAATTATGTTTTTTTGTTTGTTTCTTACAGAATCCCTTACTTCGGTTTCTCCCATGATATATATTTTGGAATATTTTTTCTCAGGTACAGTTTTTATAAAATAAAATTAGTTAAAACGACACTGTCACGCCAAACTTTCTACTTTCAAAGAGGAGGGGGAGTATTCTGAAAAAACTTTCTCTGACAAAGGAAATTGAGCTGACTTAAGCTCCTTCTTGGGTCAGAGAATGTCAGGAGTAGGAAAAATACATGACAAGGTAGTCCCTACTTTGTCTTATGTTTTAAATAAAATTAGATTAAAAATAAACAAAAGAAGAACAGATTCTGAGAGATGAAGAAAAGAGGAAACAGTAAGAGAAAGGTAAATTTGGCATGACAGTGCCGCTTTAAGAAACAGACCCTCGTCCTACTTCTCTCTTCCTAAAACATAACCCTTCTAAAACAATTGTCCAGTTTCATCTCTGTCTCCACTAAACACAAGCACTTGAGTATTTATTTAACCTCCTAAACATTTTTATACAACCAGTTGTAAAAGTCTACTTAAAACATGAATATCTGATTTGCAGAATTGGGATTTCATGGATAGGAAAATGTAATCATTTAGATAAAGAACATATTTCTATTTCTCTTTATTTTGTCAGATGATTCTATTTCCCTTTGGTTACACATCATTTTAAAATTATTACTGTGTATTAATAAAATAATGCCAAGTTCTTTTGATAGAAAGTTATGGATTGATCTAGAATCCAGCTTAATATGCCCTGGTTTCCTTACATTTTCTGGTTGAATAAATTCAGTGATGTTAGAGGCTTGCAGATTGCCCATTCACACTTAATTCCTTATGCAGGGCCGTTAGAAGGAATTTGGGGGCCCCAAGCAAAATGGAAATGGAGGCACCTCTAGCCCCCTCCCCCACACGCACACAAAGCCTATAGGAACCACAGCATAGACATACAGTTAAAGTTCACCCACACTTTATATAAATAAAAAAGGTTCACAGTGCAAATACTGCTGTTGCATATAATGTGCATAAAGTTTGAACATTTTCAACAACTGAACATTTGCAAAAAACACCACTGTACCATGTGTCCTTCTTACTCCCCTCCCCCTCCCTGTATCCTTCTTACTCCCCTCCCACCTATGCTCTTTTTACTCCCCCCATGTTTTTTTACATCCCCCTTCCTGTGTTTTTTTACTCCCCCCTCCCCATGTTTTTTTTACTCCCCCTCCCTATGTTATTTTTACTCCCTCCCTTCCTCTGTTCTTTTTACTCCAACCCCCCCACCCCTATGTACTTCTCAGTTCTTACCTCCCCTTCCCTGTAGCGTGGCCGAGCTCCTCTTCCTCCTGGCTGTCAGTCCGGCAGGGTACCGCGCGGTAACAGGAAATTCGGTTTTCTGTTCCTGGCCGGACTGAAAGGAAGTGTGCACTCAGTGTGCACTTCCTGTCAATCCATCCGGGAACAGGAAACTGAATCTCCTGTACCGCGCAGGAACCGGCCGGATTGACAGCCAGGAGGAAGAGGAGCTCGGCCACGCTACAGGGAAGGGGAGGTGACAAGAGAGGAGTGCTGCAGCCGCCCGAGGCTCTCTATAGAGCGCTCAGGCAGCTGCAGCCTTATAGGAAGCGCCGGCCCTGCTTGGGGCCCCAGGCCAGCTCGGGTCCCCAAGCAATTGCTTGGTTTGCCAGCCCGGTAGCGACGGGCCTGTCATAATAGGTTTATAAGAAGCTCAAAATTAAATATGAATATTCTCTGCCAAATTAGCTATAGCATAATTTCTGTGTAGTAGAGATTTTTCCTCTGGATTATGAGTCAAGCATTTTCATATAGAGATAGAGGATACAGGAATTCAGAGATACCTGTAACTGATTGCTTGTGCTATCTGCAGAGTCAATATGTTGCTTCTAATAATTAAAACAATAGGTAGAACTAATATTACCTTATTTTTCTAATTTAAAAATTGTATTGCTTTTATAAATGTACGTTTTGCACGACATAAGAGTATACAGGTGGCTGTTGCAGGGTCTAGCATGCTATTCATTTATTTATAAAATATTTTTATTTATAAAATATTTTACCAGGAAAAATACATTGAGATTTCTTTCGTTTTCAAGTATGTCCTGTTAATAGAAGACACTGTGCAATAAGAGAAGCTAAAAAAATGTATTGAACTTTGTAATGGAGCTCCTGTACTCTGGGTGATTATACCCATTAGGTCAGTTTCCTGACTGCTACCAGGGGACTTCAGACCCAGTCACCAAAGCTGGACTGGTGTCTCTGGGGATGGTTCTCCACTGGAAGTAATACCAGGAATTATAGCTCTTTCTCTGGGTCCTTTCTCTGGATCCTTTCTCTGATTTACGGCAAGAGTGAATATAGCTATTTTCCCCAAAACTTTAGGCAATACTTAATGGAGACACTTCATACTTTATTGCAAACACAGCACAGCTATTTATACAGAGGAATGTGTATCCTCCATCTGCAGTGCCACTCTTTCTGGAGTCTTGATTACATTATTCCCAGTTAACAAGGTAGCCCCCCTTGCTGTGTCCTCACAGGCCTAGAGACAAAATGATCCCTTTTTGGTTTTTAGGGGCTCTTAGCACTGGGTCCATAGTCTGTGTGCAGGGGACAGGCCTCCAGACCCCACCACCAGCCCAAGGCACAGTGGCTTCTGCCACAGGCTCTCTTTCAGGAAGAGTGTAGGGAGGATGTGCGAGTCTCAGCCAGGGGATGCGTGGCTAGGGATGTATAAACAAAGTGATTTAATGCCTAGATTGCAGACAGTAGACAGCAGAGGCATGATCAATACATTAACACAACATTAATAAAGTTATCCTGGTGATTAGAATGTCCATGTAAGGCGACATAGTCTGTCTAGGACAGATAATTAAGAAGGAGACGTTTTTCCAGTAGACTATATCTCTGATGTGAAATGCTTCAACTATTATCTATCCTAATTCATGAATATTAAAGAATTGTTGTGCTATAAAGAGTTGGCAGTTATCCTTTCACTTGTCTGTGGGTATGCCAATGAGTTATTTTAGAGACTGGTCTGCATGATGGAACAACTCTTTATAAAAACTCCTTAGATGGAAGAAACCTTTTGAGATGCTTTATAGAGAGTTATTCTGCGCATTCACTACAGAAACCAACAGAATGTATCTAATATACTTTCCAAACATTGCCCCAAAACATGCTTATGTTCAATAATCTCGAAAATGTTTTCATTGGTCTCTCTCCTGTAGAGGTTTTACTAAAGCAATAAATCCCTCTTTATTTAAACAAACAACATACAGCACGGCAGAGTAAGACAAGTAAAATTGCATTTCAGGAAATGCGTATATCTGTTTCATTTACAATGGCTGGAGTCCTTCTTCAACTGTCTGGCCAACTCCTGACTTCAAATAGATTTAGTCTAGGTCGGAACTCAATACTTTTTCCATCCCTCACTGTGAATGTACAAAAACCATGTTTTATTAGACACGAAAAAGTAGAATTATTTGTGTGTTAATCATTTAAGCAAATTATGTCTGACTATTGTTTTTACTTGAAGATAAGATCAAATTTTATGACCAATGTAGTAAAGGTAATTTAGTAGTATAATTTAGCCAGTATATAATAAATACATTTCCTGTTCTTTGCCAATGTTACTGCCGGCAAACATGGTTTTGGCCACTGATAGAGCCCCTCTAGATACCCATTTTAGTTTTCCCTAATTACATAGCAACATCGAGTCTCTTAATTTGGAGTGTGTCAAGTTCACCAAATAATACATTTCACATTTTGCAAACAGTATAATTAGGAGTAATATATAACATATGACATATTTCATTCCATGTGTATATATATATTTCTCTTCAATCTTTGCCAATCATGAAAGAACTGGGACATATACCATGCTATATACATCAGAAAATGTCTTTCCACCTCTCAGTTTTTCTTTAATTCCTCCTTGTAGGATTTACAAAAAAAAATTATGAAACATGCGATTAAACATTTTAAGTTAACAGATGGAGGCAAACCATGCTAACATAAAATGATGGGTTAAAAAAAAAAACACTTATGCTAATTAAAATGTCCTATTCTATTGTATGATTTCTCAAATGGTAATATGCCATCATTCTGCTTAGCATTTTAAAAATAGTATTTAAAAAATGTTCTTTCCATCATTTCCCTTAATTCAAAATGATCTCATGAAAAAAAATAAAAAATCTTTTTTTAGACTTGTGTATCATAGACTAAAATGTCAGAGCAAATGGAATTTTCCAAATGTACCTAAAAAATTATACAAAATCCTTACTGATGCCCAGACACAACTTATCATTAAGATTTTTTTTTTTGAAATAATGATTATGTATTTAACAAGAAAGTGTATATTAATCTTTCTGTCTAGATGTAATTGCTAATTGATATATTACATCATTTTCTTACATTTATTATTATAAGTATTATTATTATTATTATATTCTGTTTCACTGAAATCCTCAAAGACTTTCCTTCCTCCTTCACCACTTGGTTGTTGACATGCACCCCTGTACATATAAGGCTTGCAGGCTCAGTGAAGGACAAGAATAGGTGTGTGTGTGTGTCTTTTGTCTAGCCCTGAAGTGCCAAAATATGCGTTTTTTAAAGGGCAAATCCACAATTATTATAAAGTGAAAAATGGCACATGTAGCAACCAACAGAGTTAAGCATATACATTTTCAATAAAGACAAACATAAAATGGTGTACAACAACAAATGCAAATACAGTTGCAAGAAAAAGTATGTGAACCCTTTGGAATAATAATTATTATTATTATTATTATTATTTTATTATTTATATAGCGCCAACAAATTCCGTAACACTGTACAATGGGTGGACTAACAGACACATAATTGAGATCAGACCACTGACATACAGGAACAGAGGGGGTTGAGGGCCCTGCTCGATGAGCTTACATGCTAGAGGGAGTGGGGTATAGTGACACAAAGGGTTAAAGTAGGGGAATTAAATAGTTTGTTACAGAAGGGTTTATTGAGTGCTTGGTAGGTCATTTTTGACAGGTGAAGGAACGGAGTCATGGGGTGGGGGATGAGAAACCTGCTGACAGTTTAATTGATACGCTTTAATAAAGAAGTGAGTTTTCAAAGATTTTTTGAAGGAATGGAGGCTGGGTGAAAGTCTGATTGAGGAGGGAAGGGAGTTCCACAGAATAGGTGCAGCCCTGGAGAAGTCTTGAAGGCGAGCATCAGAGGTGGGGATCCGGGCAGAGGATAGGAGTAGGTCTTGGGCTGAGCGCAGGGGTCTCGTCGGGACATACTTGTGTATGAGGGAAGATAGGTATGTTGGAGCAGCATTATGTAGGGATTTGTAAGCAAGCGCCAGAATTTTGAATTGGGCCCTATATCTAACTGGAAGCCAATGCAGGGACTGACAGAGCGTGGAGGCGTGGGAGGTGCGACTGGACAGGAAAATAAGCCTCGCAGCCGTATTCATTATAGATTGCAGCGTGCAAGCTGGGAACATGTAAGACCGGTGAGAAGGGGATTGCAATAGTCAAGGCGAGAGAGAACAACAGCATGAACCAGTACCTTAGCCGCGTCCGGCGTTAGATATGGGCGGATGCGCGCTATGTTCTTGAGTTGGAAGCGACAGGATTTGGCTATCGATTGAACATGGGGAGTAAAAGAGAGATCAGAATCAAAAAGAACTCCTAGGCAGCGAGCCTGGGAGGTAGAGGTGATAGTAGCGCCGTTGACTTGGATGGCGACAGACACAGGAGTAGCAGCACTTGAGGGAGGAAAAACTAGAAGTTCTGTTTTGGACAGGTTGAGTTTAAGGAAGTGAGCAGCCATCCAGTTGGAAATAGCAGAGAGGCAGTCAGAAACACGAGTCAAGGTGGGCGGAGAGAGATCAGGGGAGGACAGGTAGATTTGCGTGTCATCTGCATATAAATGGTATTGGACGCCAAAAGAGCTGATGAGTTTACCAAGGGAGGCAGTATAGATAGAGAACAGTAGGGGGCCGAGGACAGAACCTTGGGGGACGCCGACAGGGAGGGGTTGGGGAGAAGAGGCAGAGCCAGAGAAAGAAACACTGAAGGAGCGCTGGGAGAGGTAGGAGGAGCACCAGGAGAGAGCAGAATCCCGTAGACCAAAGTTACGGAGAATGTGAAGAAGCTGTTGATGATCAACATTGTCAAAGGCGGCAGAGAGATCAAGGAGGATTAGGATAGAGTATTGGCCGCGAGATTTAGCAGCAATTAAATCGTTGGATACTTTGGTCACAGCAGTTTCGACAGAGTGACCAGCGCGGAATCCATACTGAAGGGGGTCAAGCAGAGAGTTGGATTCAAGAAAGTCTGTCAATCTGGCGTAGACAACTCTCTCGAGGATCTTGGAGGCAAATGGCAGTAGTGAGATAGGGCGGTAGTTGGATGGGGAGTTGGGATCGAGGTTGGGCTTTTTCAGAATTGGGGTTACGGTTGCATGTTTGAAGGCAGAGGGAAATGTGCCAGAGGAAAGGGAGAGATTGAAAATGTTAGAGCGAGGAAGAGCAAGAGAGGGAGACAAAGTGCGGATGAGATGCGAGGGAATAGGATCGAGGGAGCAGGTGGTGGGGCGGGAGGACAGGAGCAGAGCAGAAACCTCTTGTGCTGTAGCAGGTGGAAATGAGCTTAGGATGACAGGGGGAGTGGGGTTGGGTGATGTATTGATACTGGTCGGAGAAAGATTAGAGATCTCTTTCCTGATTGTAGAGATCTTCTCAGTGAAATGAGATGCAAAGTTTGTGGCGGACAAGGTGGTGGAAGGAGGGGGAGTCACAGGGCGAAGAAGTGCATCAAAAGTGTGAAACAGGTGTTTGGGTTGGTGGGACAGTGTGCTTATGAGGGTGTTGAAGTAACTTGCTTTTGCAGAGGAAAGAGCCATGCTGTAGGAGCGCAGCATAAATTTATAGTTGACAAAGTCAGATGCAAAGTGAGACTTAGAGGTAACGGGTCAGCTTGGTGTGCCAGGGTTGTAGTTGGGGGCGCTTGCTGCGTTTAACTGTAGGAGGTGCCATGATGTCAAGTTGAGAGGAGAGAGTGGAGTTGTAGAGTGAGGTTGCAGAGTTAGGGCAGTTGTGATTTGAGATGGGTAAAAGGAGTGTTTGGAGTTTAGTGGAGAAGTGCTGGAGATCGAGAGAGTTGAGGTTTCTGCGAGGTTGGAGAGTGGACGGTGGTGAGATTTTGGTATGGGGTATGCAAATGTTAAATGTTAGCAAATGGTGGTCAGACAAAGGAAATGGAGCAGTGGCGAGATCAGAGGTAGTACAGAGATTGGTGAAGATGAGGTCAAGAGTGTTTCCTGCAGTGTGAGTTGCTGAGGAAGAAATCTGTGTGAGTCCAAAGGAGGAGGTTACAGAGAGCAGACGAGAGGCATCAGGGCAATTGAGCTTGTTGATGGGGATATTGAAGTCCCCAAGTATGAGAGAAGGAGTGCTAGAGGAAAGAAAGTGGGGTAACCAGGAGGAAAAGTGTTCAATGAATAGTTAAGGGTGACCGGGGGGGCGATAGATGATGGCAATTCTTAAAGGAGTGGGCTTAAAAAGGCGTACAAAGGATTTGTGTGGATTTCTGCACAAATTGGTCATAAAATGTGATCTGATCATCATCTAAATCACAACAATAGACAATCACAGTCATGCTTAAACTAATAACACACAAAGAATGAAATGTTGCCATGTTTTTATAAGAGCGCAAAAAATGTGTCGCAAGAGAATTCTGAGAATGGACAGCAGCTAAAATAGCCTGCCCTTTGGTGGGTCCCCGCTCAGAACTGAAGCTGGTTTTAGCTCATCTTGTGCCATTACAGAGAGAACATATCTGAAGCATATCAGACTGGTTCCATCCATACGGGCAGTCCAGATCCAAAATGCCAGCAAGTTCTCTCTGCACGAGAGATACAGCAACCCCAGACGATCGTTTCAGCCTTGTTAGCCATCATCAGTGATGATATCTCTCTAGGCACCGTGAGCAAGGGGCCACGTCTGGATTACCCTTTAAACTAATGGAGAGCAAAAAATGCGTCGCAAGAGTATTCTGAGAACAGACAGCAGCTAAAATAGCCTGCCCTTCGGTGGGTCCCCGCTCAGAACTCAAGCTGGTTTTAGCTCATCTTGTGCCATTACAGAGAGAACATATCTGAAGCATATAAGACTGGTTCCACCCATACGGGCAGTCCAGATCTGAAATGCCAGCAAGTTCTCTCTGCACGAGAGATACTAAACAAGAATGGATTTCATGGGAGGATACCACATAGGAAGCCACTGCTGTCCAAACAAAACCTGGATGTTCCACAGCAGTACTGGCAAAATATTCTGTGGACAGATGAAACCAAAGTTGAGTTGTTTGGAAGAAAAAAAGACACAGCAAACCAACATCAAATCCAAGCTCGGATTGCTATCATCGAAGGAGCTATCATCGAAGGATAAATGAATTCCCAAGTTTATCAAGACATTTTGCAGGAGAACGTAAGGCCATCTGTCTACCAACTGAAGCTCAACAGAAGATGGGTGTTGCAACAGGACAATGACCCAAAGCATAGAAGTAAATCAATAACAGAATGGCTTAAACAGAAGAAAATACGCCTTTTGAAGTGGCCCAGTCAGAGTCCTGACCTAAACCCGATGCTGTGGCATGACCTCAAGAAAGCGATTCACACCAGACATCCCAAGAATATTGCTGAACTGAAACAGTTCTGTAAAGAGGAATGGTCAAGAATTACTCCTGACCGGTGTGCACGTCTGATCTGCAACTACAGGAAATGTTTGGTTGAAGTTATTGCTGCCAAAGGAGGTTCAACCAGTTATTAAATCCAAGGGCTCACATACTTTTTCCACCTGCACTGAGAATGTTTACATGGTGTGTGCAATAAAAACATGGCAGCATTTCATTCTTTGTGTATTATTAGTTTAAGAAGACTGTGATTGTCTATTGTTGTGACTTAGATGATGATCAGATCACATTTTATGACCAATTTGTGCAGAAATCCATATCATTCCAAATAGTTCACATACTTTTCCTTGCAACTGTACACTTATTGGCAAGATACCTTGGAATAAAGACAAACAATAAAATATAATGCAGATTATTTGTGTATGTCAAATAAAACAAGCACAAGGGGAGAAAAGGAGCAAATAGATATAAACTCACAAACAATGAGTACATTGTGTCCCACTCTCACTTAGCAGCCCAGGAGGTATCATGATCCAAGTGGACAGTGGATCCCCAAAATGATATGCTGGCAAAGATCTACAAATCGTTTGAATAGAGAATATGGTAAACATTATTTCTTCAAATTAAAAACGCAGAATCAAGAAGTATTGCAACAGTCAGTTTTGGATATTTAATCTATGTACATTTTCCAGTGGTGGTTCCCAACCGAACCACTCTGTTCGGCATCTGTTCCGCTTACTCAGCCTCACTTTCAATCTATCAACATGACGCATCTCACTATGCCCCTCTGTGCTTTTTCAAATGTGAGATAGGACACTTCCACATCACCAGATTATATATTATTGCCATTATGGTACTAGATGATCACTGAAACGGCAAATTCAAATTGTAGCACTCAATCAATGCAATTGTCCATTTAAATATCCACAAGGAGCAAGGTAAAAGAAAAGTCATTATTGAGTAAGGAAAAATAAAAGCCATGAGTTAAATTAAAAACAAACTTCACTAATGAAGTTAACAACCTAAAGCCCTATTTGTTGCCTGGGAATAAAGCAAAAAGCATGTAATACCTGTCATGATACTTAGCCAAAGTCGTTGATTTGCTCCTCTTCACAGGTTGTGCATATCAAATTCACCATTTAGCCATGCGGTCTGTCTTCCCATAGAGATTCAAATTTTGCACGCTTGAATGGTGTTCCTTGTATAATGAACATGACACTTCCAATTCGGAAGTGAATGAGTCATCTAGGTTATCTTGTTTAGGCCCTTATTCAGTGCCCTATCATGGCTTCTATGATGATTAGTGCATTCTGTAAATAATATTGTCCTTCTTTTTTGGGTTTTCCATATCCTCTGAATTTGGGTATACTCCCCATGATATTACAATAGGGCTTTGGACTCTGCAGGATGGGGCTACAAAAAACCTCTTGTGAGGCAGACTTTGAGGAATTAGATCACAGAATGGATCAATTTGCCCATGCACTCCAACATTGTTAAACAGAACAGCACACCTTTCTCCTGAGAATCCTGTACCTTTACCTCCCCCAAACCATACCAATTGTATTGGAAGCAGCCCATAGCAACAATATGTCCACCACCCTGGCCACACCACTTAGATACAGAGATGATCCCAAAACTTGTAGACGATTT